GTAGAATATTGTATACAATTGTTTTTGTAAAAACGTGGTAAATAATTTTATTTGGTGTAAACGGATATTGGTGGAAAAGGGAAAGATACACTTTTGGTGGAAACGGTTATCGCCCATAATATACGATGGTACTATAAAATCTGATCAACCGTAATTCTAACTACTAAGATTCCCCTTTTATTTTGTTAACAATATAACTATATAAATATTAAAATTAATAATATATATATATATATATAAATAGGTATAATTATTATTAGGTAAATAATTATAATTAAATATACCTCGATGTCATTAAGTAATTGTGTGATATGTTGGTTCTTTTGTCTAACAGATTCTGTTAAATCTCTAAACCTTTCAGCCATTGACAAGTTGTCTTCAATAGGTTGATAATCTAATTGACGTCCAGAAATATCATCTTGCACTGCATCAAGTTCTCGACGAAGAAAATCTCTTTCATTTTCGACTTTAGATAACTGTGCGGATATCTATAACAAATATATAATTAAAAAATATTTAAAAAAGAGAGTAAGTGGGTAACGCTCTGCTGTTGTATTAGGTGTCTAGAGAGTCACTGTAATGGAAGAGTTAAATTTAAATTCAACAATAATAATTGTACCTAGTTAAAAACAATTATAAATGTAGACGTCCTGTTGGCTTTTAATACCACTAGGTATAAACATTTAATGATATTATTGTTATTAATGTAATTTATTTTAGTATTGCATTATATAAGATAAATGATAATCAATATTATATGTACAACCTTATCCAGTTCTTTGACTTTAAAATCAACTTCTTGTTTTTGTTGCAGAACATCCGATGATAAACGTTCATTTTCTAATTCGAGTCTAGTCAACTCCTTGCGGATTACTTCGGTTTCTAAATAAACATTACATAATTTGGTATAAAAATTAAATCAATTTTAACAAATTGAGAATAGATTAAATTTATTCCATGATAACACTGGTACTACGTTGCACTTTGCAGTACCTAATGTCAGATATTTAGTATTTAAACTTGAATAAAATTATACTATGCTTGGACAGYTCGGTTGCATTACCGATGGGCAATCGCCAACTGACCATATACTTGTATGTTTACGATTGCCAATCGATTATCCATTCAATCGGAACATTATATTAATTATTAATAGAGTTAGTTGTTGTACGTATGTCGTATAACTACTGTAAGGACTAATAATAGGTAGGTATATAGAAAATATACGTTACTTCATATTTTAAACTATTCACATTATAAAATTATTGTCCTGGGTATAAACTATTATTATTATCAATAATCATTCATCACTTACGGTCATTTTGAGATAAATTATCCACTTTAATAGTTCTTGTTTCTTCCTCTTTTTTCAATCTCCTTGCTTCTTCTTCTCCTTGTTTAGTGGCCAAATCTTCGATTTCGGTCATCAATGAATCAACCTTTATATTATAAAATCAATTATAGTACAACGCATTTAAAATTTTCAAATATACACCAATACGCAGTTTTTTAATCGTCTTACTTGTTCTCCTTTATACATTAACATTCGTCGAAAAATGATAAACATGTTTTCACATTGTCGACGATCCAACTCGAAATCCAGTTGATCGCACTCGGTTACAGTGATTTCATCATACAACTGTTCCAGATCCTGTTCGTTCATTTCATCTACAGAGACAGCTAACATTTTGCTTAATTCTAATTGTACCATTGTTGAGCTTAACTTAAATTACTTAGCTATTATTATTTACTGTTAAACATACACACGTAATATTAAGCATAATCTATTATAGTAAAAAAATAGATTTTTATTTTTAAAGTTTCAAGTAATCTGGTTCATAACAAAAAAATAAAAACAACAACAAACTAATTGTTATGATTTCAGAGTTGCCCTAGCAACGCTCTATAATACTATAATAATATTATACTTATGAGTATATATCATATATGTACATTATGCAACCATACAAAATATCCGATAAC